GGAGAGGGCTGGGCGGGGAGAGAAGTGCAGCAATGAATGAATGGAAATCTAAATTCTCTGTTAATGTTCCTTAAAATTATTTTTAAAATAAAATAAAAAAATAGATACGTCCCCAAAATTATGACTATAATATTTATAAAAGTGAAGAAAAGGCATAACAAGTTAACAAGAACGAGAAGCCGTGATCAAATTGTTTCTCTTTATAGTCTTTGCTTTCTTGAAAGATAGACTATCAAGATGAATTATAGTTAAATCAAAATCTCTGCATTTCTGTTTCATCCTTTTTGAAAATATCTTGCATGGAAAAATCTGTGAACATGGGTTTTGTTAGGCAGTTTTTGTTGTTGTTGCTGTTTTTGTTGGTGGTGTGTGGTGTGTGCCACGGAGTTGGAACTGACGCATAGCTGACCGTCCAGGGTGCTTTCAGAGGCAGTTAGTTGTTCAGGGGGAGATTACCCATCCTTCTCCCTCAGAGCAGCTGGCGAATTTGAAGCACTTGCCCCTGGGATTGTAGCACAATTTTTACCATGACCACCTCTAAACAACAGATTGGAACCTTGCCTTTTTCTGCCCATCTTCCTGTTCTCCACCATGCTCTGGTTCATGGTTGTAGTCACTTTTTCAATCTCCAATTATTAATGGGTGTTTAAAAGTGATTCTTCTAATTTTGAGCCTTCCACATCAGCAAATAAAGGTCCACTATTGGGTGATTGATTGTTCATGTCATTAAGGTAGACTATTTTGAAGGAGTAAGCCTTGCCCAGTTGCATCATGAGTGTCATCCAACCTGAGGGGCTCATCTTCTGACACTACATCAAACAAAGTTCTACTGCTATTCATAGGCTGTTCCAGGGCCTGATATTTGAGAAGTGGATGGTGAATCTTGCTGCTTATTATGTGTTAGTCTGGGAGTTCCATTGAAACTTGTCCACCTCCATGAATGACCCCGCTGGTATTTTAAATATTGGTGGTATAATTTCCAGTGTAACAACAACATATAAGTCACTACAGAAGGGCAAACTAACAAATTGTGGTCTTTTGTACTCAAGATTTTTTATACATATAAGTGTATGTAAGGATATCAGTTTAAAGACTAAAATGTACTTGATCCAAGCCATGGTATTTTTCAACTGTTTCCTCTGCACCTAAAAGTTTAACAATAAATAAAGACAATAAAAAAAGACTTAATGCCTTTGAATTGTGGTATTGTCAAAGAGTGTTGAATATACTACAGACTGCCAAAAGAACAAACAAATCTAGTTTGGAGAAAGTACAACCAGTACAACCATGTGCTCCTTAGACTCTAGGTGGTAAAACTTTGCCTCGCATCTGGCATATATTTGGCATATTATCAGGAAATCCTTGGAAGAAGATATGATGCTGGGAAAGTTTGGTGAACAAGATGGATTGGCACAGGAACTGTAGCAATGGGGCCGAGCATGTCAGAAATGGTGAGGGTGTTGCTATATATGGCAAGGTTCTGATACGTTGTTCATAAAGTCAGGATAAGTCATAGCCAGCTTGATAGTATTTAACAACAACAACAATACAGACACACAAATGTAGTTCCTTATCTTTCCTGATTCTGTATTTATGTTACTGTAAATAACTATGAAT